TACTTTCTAGATCCTTATGACAGTGATCTACATTTCTAACAACAGTCTTTCTTAATTCCTTCAGCATTTTTATTACCTCCTTTTTGAGCTCAGGGTTTGATAGACTAGAGAGGTCTGTTTCATCATTTGTTCTCTCAGAGGATTTCTCTTGTTCTTTTACTTTATTTTTTTAAAGATTTAAAAGTCTTATTTCTACAAATCATAGCTGGTGAACGTGAAACCTTCATACGTGGGCACCACTCTACAGGAACAGCTGTTCCCAGGAAAGGGGTGGCTTGACATGCAGAAACCTGCGCAGTCCAAAGTCCAGGGCGGAGTGGGGTCAGGGGGCCCAAGGGCCTCTGCCAGAGCAGCCCCAGCAGCCACAGAGCACGCACTTGATGATCCGGTCCACTGACAGCTTATTTTGGGGTCCTGGCAAACGCAGTTTGTCCCCAAATCGGTGTTCCATGTCTGAATGCACCTCAGGCAGCATGATTTCTCATACATCTGCTTTTTCCGTTCTGCGATTAGGTTTTACCTGCATAGCCTTCTTTGATACAATACTCATATAGTTCTTTTTATGGCTTTCCGCTTTTAGAAGAGATCAAAAATATAGTGGGTTTTCTGGTAGTGGATCTTGAAGATGGGCCACAGAGATTCCACTTTCCTCTTTTCCTCATGAGGTTCTGTTTCAGCTTCTCTCATCTTTTGATCTAATTCATCCAATGTTGGCTCCATCAACTCCCAGTCATCTAGGGGAGCTTTCCAGCTTCTTCTGACTTTAGGCATTTTTCCCACAAGATAATTTGCAAAGATCTTAGCGTCTGTTTCCCAAGAGTATAACAGAAAGATCCCTGGTCTCTTCAGTTACAGACGTAGGTTCTTGTCCAGCTCTACCAATCAGTACATGACTTTGGGGAGATCACATTCCCTCTCTGGTCCTCAGTCTTATTAGAACCTCTGTCGCTGTCGGATGCCCCTTCTCTATCCTCTTGTTCTTTTAACTGGGAGTAGTTCCCCTGCTTTTTCATTTTACTTATATTTCTCCAGTTATCTGGACAAGAAAACTCCAGGAAGCCAGCTCCCCTGCCATTGTGTTAGGAGGGGAGATTCAGAGAGGATGGGAGTCTGCAGGGACCAAGGCCTCCACTGAGACCAAGTGCTTGAGTCTTAATCACCTCAACCCAGGGGAAATACAGGCAGCAGAGCGCTCCCAGGGATGTGCTGATGAGGCTGGAGTGGGGGTGCAGGAGTGGGAACCAGGAACATCAAGTCAGTTCTTAATCGCCTCCAATGAAGGGTGCTGGGAACAAGTGGATGTTTCTGCCATCCATCCCAAACAAAACACAACAGTAGCAGGAAAGATTTAAAGAGCAGGGGGAGCCGTGTCACGTGGCACTTGTGTTTGTGATAACCACATTTTCCGTTAAACTGCTGTTTTGTGACTTCCTTTTTTTTTTTTTTTTTTTTTTTAGTGAAATTGAACAGCCCTTGCTTTATGTAGAGAACCATTGCGAGGTTACGAGCCCCTTCCCTTTCTCACAAATGGAAGTTCTATGAGCAGCCTGAGACTGGAGCCGGCACAGGTGAAGCCTGGTCCCAGCCCAGGCTGCAGAGGTGCACCTGCAGGAGAATCAGGTCCTGCCCTCTGTCAGATGGAACAATGCGGAGGGTCCTATTTGAATTCTCCACTAGTGTCACAAAACAGGCAACAGAGTAATCCCTCTATGTGCATGGGAGTCAGGCTTTCCTTTCTGATATGAGGTTCATTTTCTTCTCTGCAAAGTTACTTGATAAATCTAATAAGCATGTGCTAAGTTCTATGCTGCTGGGTCTGTGACCAATGTAATAAGATTCAACTTTAGAGCTTTTCTCAATTCATTTACTCCTTAATCCAATTCTACCATTTTATAACAAAGGGAGATTGACAGTTAACTGGAAAAGGTCTGCATGAGAGGCAGGAACAGGAAGTTAGTTAAATACTCAATGCTTTTTGGTCTTAAGTCAAGGAGTACTTTTCCACAGGCACCTTACTAATTTCCCCCATCTCTGTCTCACTTTTACAGGCCTTTTGCTTTGTTCTTAAAAACTGATGATGTGTTAAAAAAAAAAAAAAAAAACTGATGATGTGTTGGCGAAAGAACACACAGTAAATCAACAGAACAGAATTTCAAGTCTGGAAATAGATCCACATAGCACAGTCAACAGACCTGAGATGAATGTGAAAAAGCAGCTAATGGAGGAAGGATGGACCCTCCAGCAGAGGGGGCCAAAACAACCGGACACCCACAGGCCACAAACTGAACCTTGGCATAAACATCACATCATGTACAAAAGTTAATTCAGAGTGTATTGTGGATTTATATGTCAGACCATAAAACTTTTAGAAGAAAACATAGGAAAAAACTTCATGACCTCAAGTTAAGCAACGACTTCTTAGATGTGACACTAAAAGCACAATCCATAAATGAAAAAGATGACAAACTGGACTTCATCACAGCTGAAAACGTCTACCCTGTGAAGGACACTGCTAAAGAGAGTGAGAAGGCGGGCCACAGACTGGGAGGAAAGATTGGCAAATCGCCTACCTGACAAAAGGTTTGTGTCTGGAATATATAAAGGACACTCTAAACGCAATGGGCACAAGATTTGAAGAGGCACCTCACCAAAGAAGATACACAGATGGCCAGTGAGCATAACAATGGTGTTCAACATCACTAGTCCTCAGGGAAACGAAGTCAAAACCACAATGAGACACCCCTTCACCACTGGGTGAAGAACAGACTAAACACACCAAGTGTGGGGAGCACCCGGAACCCCACCTGGAAAGCAGGTTGGCAGCTCCTTATAAAGTCTGCATGTGCTCACCACCTCCTCCCCTGGGGATTTGCTCAGGCAAGATGAGACAAAAAGCTGGAGGCCAATGCCGAGTCATTTACCCTCTGTAAACAGCCTGTGTCCCTCACTGGGGGTTGGATCAACAGACCACAGAACAGCCATACTAGGGACACTACTCCACAGAGGCATGGACCACAGACCCACACAGCCACATGGACAAATCTCAGGGTGTACTGCTGAGTGGAAGATGCCAACCTTGGAAGGCCACACACAGTACAATCTCACTGAGATGACATTCCGGGAAAGGCGTGTATGCACAACACTGCTCGAACATCTCAGACCCTGGAGCAAACATAGCTTCCACCTGATGGGCACAGGGCAGGTGTGAGGGTAGGAAGGAAGGCCAGATGCTAAAGCTGCAGCAGGTGAATAGGGAGGTGCAATAGACAACCCCCAGGGCTAAGGCTGGTGGCTTCTCTTCCTACTTGCCTCTGACCACCTCCCACACCTCTGGGAGGCTCCATGTGCCCAGTGGTACCAGCTGGCCAGGCCACCTTCACTCCTCGGCCGCTGGGGAGAATCACTGCTCTTTCACATGGCAGTGATACATACAACCTAGTCACTCTCAGGCCTGGCTCCAAACTGATGGTAGTTCATAGACACAGAGCCTGGAGGGTCCAACATGAGCCTCTGTAAGGTCAGACACTGGGCTGGAGCCAAAGCAGAAATGCACACAGTCAACCTGGCAGGGACTCAACCTGAGGGATGGGGGCTCGCTGGTCGTCCAACACCAGCCCGAGGGAGGAAAACAACTAGGGTGCAAGACAACGTCCTGCTGATGTAGCAGAGGCCAGGGAAACTTCCCAGGGATGGCTCGACCTACAGGACAGCTGGCCATCGAGCAGCAGGGGCCTGGGGATGGCGGGCGGGTCCATCTAAGATGAGGAGTGGAGAGGTCCACGTGGGAGCACAGAGGCTCTGATGGGGTGAGTGGGAGGGACAGGGTGGCTGCCAATGAGGACCCCACACCGGGTAAGAAATCCAGACCATGTAACGGGGGATGGTCAGGCTGTGACTTGGAGTGCAGCACAGCCACAGTGCTGAAGGACTAGGCCACAGCAGCCATGAGAGAGGCAAAGGGCTGCGAGAGACGGACAGGCCCGCCTGCCATGCTTCCAACTACTTGCAGAGAGGAGTGAGAGGCGCTGACTGAGAGACCCTCAGAGTGCAAGGTCGGGGGCATCCTTCCCAGGAAGAGATGCTGGAGGCTTCCAGCGGGAACACAGGAAACATCCAGGCCGTTAATGGGACTTGTACGTCGAGGCAGAGAAATGGGGGACAAGTCAGATCTGGGATCCTTCACCCAGAAAAGGTAACAGAGGCCCTGAGAAGAGTTAAAGTAGCCAAAGGAGAGGGTGCAGGGACAGGAGAGCCTGGGGGCAGTGCCGAGACAGCCCCAGGAGGGCGGTTCCGGAAGCTGGAGAGCAGCTCAGGGTCAGACACCTGGCTGGTGCCCAGGGACCTACTAGCAAGGCTATCAGAGTGCAGGGGGCAGCGGGCAAGCCAAGGGGCCACTGGGCAACTCAAGGACAGGGCACCGTGGCTTTTCCATGCAGCAGGTCCCGGTACGGCCTCTCTGGGGCAGAAACGGTCACAGCAGTCAGGTCAGAGCTGCGTGGGGGTCCCCAGTGGTTTTGTGTGATCGGGAGGCCAGGAGTGTGAGAGCAGAACAGAGTCAGACTCAGCTTGACCTCGAGAGGCACAAGGAGGAACGGCAGGCAGAGGAAGCGCGGGAGGACCAGAAACATGCACCAGGAAGGCCGGGAGGGCAGGCCTTCTAGAAGTAAAGGAGACCCCCACACCATGAAATGCACAATGTTGAGGAAAACAGTGAGACAGTGAGAAGGTGAGGGCTGAGTGGAGACCCGCAGAAGAACAAGGACGGGGCCCCCAGGACGGGGAGAAGCTGGGGGCAGGTCAGTCAGTTCCCCGGGCTGGCCACCTCCTCACGGGCAGATGCTTAACTGTGAGGGTGTCAGGGCTAACTCTGAGGACTTCAGGACTTAATGGTCCTCACTGAGAAAAGGGGAGAAAACTGCACATATTTCGAGGTCTGTATTTGAGAGAAAAGTGCAAATTCCCACAAGGAGCCGGCCTGCCTCACACACAGCTCTACTCACCCAGCCTGAATGAGCTCATTCAGCTTTGTGGCGTTCTTGTCGTCCATGCCTTTGATGGAAAAACAAACACACGTGAACATCAAGTAGTCAGGAGCGAAGCCCAGCAAGACCCCACATAATAATCTCCAACGCAGACTCCAAACCACTCAATGGAGTAGTCAAGGTCTTCCACAGTTAAGACCCCATGTTAGCTGCAGGCCCTCCCCCAGGGCCCGCACACGTCACCTGTGCTGAGAGCACTGTCTTTGCCCACCTGGACATCCTCGGGGAGGGGACCACTCCCACCTCTGCACAGCTCATCACGCCTCCAAACCCCCGCCACAGCCCCCCTGCCACGCTGGACTGCCACTCGCCCCAGTCAGAGACTCCCCTTTCTCCGGGCCCACCTTGCCCCACGCACTCTTGTCCTGCGTGGCTCCTGGGTTACCTGTGGGCCCGCCTCCGTCAGCTCTGAACTACGGACCGACACCCTGCGTGTTTACTAGAGCAGATGCTCCTTTCCTCTGCCCCACCCCCCACTCATTGCTGCCCTCAGGACACGCGAGATAGGAAGTGTAGTAATCAGGTAAAAGGAGGATGGAGGTGGTACATATCTGCAGGCCACTGTGAGATTCTTTGAACCCTGCTGAATATTTGGGGAATAAAACACAACGGGCCACAAACACGCAGCCAGGCTGAAAACCAAAGACAAGGACAAAACCTTAAAAGCAGGCGGAGAAAAACAACGCATCCCCTACAGAGGAGAAAGGACATAAACGGCCAGTGACCTCTCAGCCATGAAGAAAAAACTGTCATCAAAATCCCACATCCGGCAAAAATACCTTTTAAGAACAAAGATGAAATAAAGACTTTTCAGATAAATGATAATGGAAAGAATTCACAGCCGGCACAGAGGCATGGTGAGAAAGCCTGAAGGAAGCCCAGCAGGCTGAAGGGACATGTGCCAGATGGAAACGGATCTTCAGGAAATAGTGCTTGGCACCAGGGAGGGCAAACGCAGACCCCATCCCTAAACAAGCCAGATGCAACCCTGCCCTCCAACAGCATGGACCACACAAGCACAGTCAGCGTAAGTGACCGCTGGGGCTATGTGTGAGCATGTGACACGAGAGCCAGCCTGTCGGGGACGTTCATGGACCTGTGAGCTGAGACCAAAGGGGAGGGAAGGGCCCACAGGTCCTGCATCCGGCAGCCTGGAGGGACAGAGTGACAGAAGGCCCGCAGGGTGGGACCACCACAACTTCGGGGTTCAAGTCACCAGATGGGAGCACCATGTAAGCAACCTCCCTTTGAAGAGAAGCCATTTCAACCAACTGGTGAGGACTGCAGACAGCCAAGGTCTTCCCCGGCCTGTCCTGATACCCACATGGCACCAGGCGGGGGCAAAGTGTGACTTGTCACTCAATAGCCCAGGAGGCTTGAATGGTCATCCGTTTCCATCAAAACTGAGGGTCCTCAGGCCCTTTTCAAGGGGGAACGCCGCCCAGCTCATGCAGCTGCTGTGACACAAGGTGAGGTGTGTCAAAGGACCAGGAACCCAGCAAAGACTCAGTCTATGTCTTAAGAATCGGACGTCTGGAGACCTCAGTTACAAAAAGTGTGTTAACAAAGAGCACGCTCTGACCACTGGAGCTCAGACACGTGTTCCCAGTAGCCCAGAAAAGGCTACCACGGTGTGCAGGGCACGCAGACAACTGCCCATCCCAGCGAGCTCCTTCCCCCACAAACCTTCAACAAAGGACACAATAGTGTCCCAGCAGGTGGATCAGTGGGTGGGTGCAGTGGGGGCTCAGAATGAGGGCCCCACCAGGGTGGAGTGCTGTGAAGCAGCTTTGGGAGCCCCAAGCCCAGGTGGGGCCTCACGGGGATGTGCGTGCGTGCGTGTGTGTGTGTGTGTGCATATGTGTGTACACGTGCACTTGAGTGCTGCTGGACCAAGAGGGACCAACCAGTTGTCACCAGCAGGAGCAGATGAGCTGGAGGGGACGCCAGGCAGGAAGACGCGCTGAAGTCTAAGTGCAGAGGCCCCTTGGGTCGGGGGACCCAGGTGACACCCCAAGGGTAACAGGAAGCTGACAAGAGGATGAGGCCTGCCTCCTGTGGGGAGCACTCGGGCTGGGATGCTGGGATGTGGGAGATGGAGGACGGGGCCCCAGCATGTTGCCAGGACCAGGAGTATTTTAGGGCAAGGACAGAGAGGAGGATGGACAAGGAAGCAGGGATTCCAGGGGGTGGGGCCCCAGAGCCCCCTCAACAACACTCAAAGCAGGAGCCGGGGGTTTGTTTAAGTAAGTCGTTAGCCTGCAGGAGCATGGGGTGGGGAGCCAGGCCGCCTGTCCCTTCCTTCGGAGGCTCCTGGACTTCTTGCCTGTTTCAGGAAGGGCGGGTCACCCAGGGAATGCCCGCCCTGCCCGCCCTCCTGCCCGACTATGACGTGTTAGGTTACAGCTTACAATCATCTCATAGTGTCTCATTTAATCTTCAGAGTGGCCCTGCGGGTGTGTGCCCTTCCAACCCAAGTGACAGGCGGACAACTGGGGGCTGGAGAGGCGAGGCTGAGGCCTCTTGTCTGTGGTCACATGTGGAGGCCAGAGCACCTGTGCATCTAAAAGGAATCTAGTTACAAGGAGATGCTCAGAGCAAGGCAAAGGGAGGGGCCCAGACCCTTCAGTGTACCAGGGTCGGGAAAGGCCAGAAAGTGGGGGCTGTTCTAGGTCAAGACTCAAGAGACACAGCAGCTGTGAGCGGGCACTGTTCCCGATAGGCATGCCCTGCCTGGCATGGTGGGACGCACTGGGAGATCTGAGTTTGGGCAGGATACCAGGTGAGGCTGTGGTACCCACTTGATAAATCTTAAATGTACTTGCTGGGCATGCAGAAGAATGTCGTTGTTCACTAGGGCCAATGGCTGAGGGGTTTAGAGGGGGCTCAGACGGCTGCAACTTACAGTCACACAGCTGAGCAAGAAAAAATGCAAGTGTGTGGAGGAGGGACAGGAACAAGAGAGACAGTAACACAAACAAGGCCAAGGTTCAGGACCCATGAATCTAAATGATGGTATGTGGGGGTTGTTATGTTCTCCTTTGATTTTTCGGTATATTAAAACGTTCTGTGAGTTAAAATGTTTTCAAAATGTAAGTCGGAGAGAAAACAGAAGAGCCCCCAGTACTAAAACTCTAACTGTAAGAGGATAGCAGGCAGGCCCTGCCGGGAGGAGGCCACCCCTGAACAAAGGGTACTCACAGCCCCCGATCTTCTTGCGCAGCTCCCCATAGCAGATCAGGCCATACAGCTCCTGGGACGACTTCTTCAGCCCGCGAGAGAACACTGAAAATGAGGAAAGGTTGCGGCTTTAGAAGGAGAAAACACAGATGTGCGGGGCTTGCCCAGCTTGTGCACACCAGGGTGCTGGGGGACACTTCTTGGCTTTGACCACTGCACCATGGACCATGGGGCGTTAACATCAGGGGATACTGGGCAGAGTACACGGCAACATGGTGCTGTTTTTGCAATTTTCAAAATAAAAAGTTAAAAGAGAAAAAGGGGGTGGTTTAGAAAACTAGTCCTAACAGGCAGCGCAATTTCCCCAGAGAGGAAAACGGGACGTCCAGCATGGCCGGCTTCCACGAGGCAGAGGAGGGTCAGGACCACCTTCTCTGTGCACAGAACCCACCCAAGCTCAATGAGGGGCTGGCAGCACTGGAACCAAGGAGGCCCACCTCTCATGCCTCCTGGGACGACAGACAACTCGCCCCAGGCCTGGGGCCAGAAGGAAGAGGAAATGTGGCTTGAGTGCTCCGGACGCCCCCTTGCTTGTCAGCAGCAGACCACAGCGTGATTTGGGAGGCAACACCCAGGGTTAAGCCAGCCCATGTATAGCCTGCTCGTGGCTGGAGGAGACATCACCAGGTATGAGCAGAAGTGCTGAGGGAGGCTCCAGAGGCTCTGTAACAGACTGATTCGGCCCCGATGCCCACCCTGGACACCTACCTGCAGGCGTCTCTGACGCCAGGAAAGAAATCCTCACGTGCTCAAGCCACTGTTACCTTGAGTGTATTGTGTGAAGCCAAGCCTGACGGCGCCTTGTAAGTCTGGTTACTGCCCAGTTGGCCCCTTTCTGATCATCTCACAGGGCAGTGACCACTGCCATGTGTCCCTCTCACAACTGTTCTCTCCCCAGAGACCCCCTTTCAAAGATTTGGCTGTGTGTGATTACAACAATAGGAAAGGAAAAGAAAAGTATATTAGTAAATAGAAAGTAAAGTTCTGAATGAATGACCTAAAACAAGGATTCTGAACCTCGGATAGCCTCTGAGGAGCCTGGGGCTCTGCTAAGATCACACGCCAACCATTCCCGAAGGTTCTCCTGAGAGAAAGACCGACAGTCTCAGCGGACTCTTACAGGGACCACTACTCGGGAACCTTACGATCCACTATGCAGTCGATAAACAAATGTGGGCTTTCAGACAATGGAACAGTACTCAGCCATAGAAAGGAATGAACGGACGCTACAAAAGCCTAACACACCATACAACCTGGAAGCACCTGGAAAACGTCATGCTCAGTGAAAGAAACCGGACACTAAAGGCCCCGCATTGTATGACTCCACTGATATGAAGCGTCCAGGAGAGACAAAGATCTGTGGCTCCGTGGTTGCTGGGGCTGGGGGAGGGGCTGCAAAACAGCTGCACAGCGTGGAACCCAGTGTGACTACCAGTGCAGCACCAAGAGGCGGGCAGGCCTCTGGCCTCACACGGTCAACCGGCTGCCACCAGCTCTGAAAGGTGATCAGGACCAGCGAGAGACCTCGGTGCAGCCCTCAGCTCAACAGAAAGAAGGCACTTCCCATGGCGCCACACCGGGACACCAAGGGCATGTGGGTCAGGCAGAAGACACTACAGAGGGGCTTCCCTGGTGGCGCAGTGGTTAAGAATCCGCCTGCCAATGCAGGGGACAAGGGTTCGAGCCCTGGTCTGGGAAGATCCCACATGCCACAGAGCAACTAAGCCCATGTGCCACAACTACTGAGCCTGCACTCTAGAGCCTGTAAGCCACAACTACTGAGCCTGTGTGCTGCAACTACTGAAGCCCATGTGCCTAGAGCCCATGCTCTGTAACAAGAGAAGCCACTGCAATGAGAAGCCCATGTACTGCAATGAAGAGTAGCCCCGGCTCACTGCAACTAGAGAAAGCCCAAGCGCAGCAATGAAGACCCAACGCAGCCAAAAATAAATAAATTTTTTAAAAAAAAGTTTAAAAAAAGAAGACACTGCAGAGAAGGGAGAATGGCGCCAGCGGGGCTGACCCTGCAGAGCTAACTGTGGAACTGAGGGCGGCTGATGCATCCACCCTTCATCCAAGTTGGAAAAAGGGCTGAAGGGGAATGATACCTCCACTGGGGGAGGGGAGTTTAGGAGGCTGTCCAGCAGGGGGAGGTGACAAAAATGCCCAGAAAAGACACATCCACTCTAGATGTCCCACAGAGCCCAGTGTGGCCGCCCTGCGACACGCCTCTGGACCTCAGGGCAGACGATGCACCACGTCCACACCGGGAGCCTGGGTGGTCCACTCTGCCCATAGCCTGGTGGCGGTGAAAGCACAGAACGTGCTAGAGCACGGCTCCGGGAATGACCCCCCACCGCCTGATCTCCAGGTAGCTTCCTACCCCCTTCCTCTTCTCGTGTTGCTGAGGGCTTCACATTGGAAGTGAGTGTTTCGAGACCAGCCAAAGCAGATGAAAGACCTGCTCTCGTGGAATGACTTTCAGGAAGAACAGACTATGTAACAACAAAAAAGAGAAATGCGGAAGACAGAGAAAGAGCCAAACAGCTAAAACTCGTTTCTGCGTGCCAGCCTGGAGGGAGGGAGGGTGTTCGTGATGATGACAGATATTAACAACAGCACACTGGACTCGACAGGACCAGAGTCGATATTTTCAAATCAACTAGGGATGTGAGCAACAGTCTGAGCTAAGGATGGGCACAGCCAGCAGAAACAGACTCCGTGGAGACGGCCTGACAAAGAACAAAATGCTGCCAACTTGCCACAAAGCACCACAGCCATCGAGAGGCTTACGTTCATGGCCACATGGACACTGAGAGCACACGCGCGTGCGCCCACGCGCACATGCACACGCACACACACCAGTAGCAAAAGACTTGTGGGTCAGACCGAGGGACTGCTGCAAAGCGTGGAAACTGAGCGCCCACTTCCCAGGGTCCCTAGAAGGAGCAGCAACCTCACTACACAGATATGGCACTAGAAGAGGTTGGAGCCACCATTCTCTTTGTGTTGTATCTTCCTCATCAAGATGTCAGGCTGGACGGGCGGCCCCTGAAGCAGAAGGCTTTTAAGCAGGAAAGATACCTTAAAAAGACTCGTGAGAAGCAAAAGGATTTAACTGGCCAGAGAGAACCTCGGTGGGGTCATAAACTCAGCAGAAAGCAGGCACTGCACGTGGGGCCTCGCATGAAACAGGACTTGCCCAGAGCAACATGCACTCGTCTGTCAGGTACTCCTTTCTGCCTTTGTCATGGACAGAACCAGATGGGAAATGCGGGGAGAGGCAGACAGACCCCCAGGACAGAGGGCCGGACACGCACCTTCCGGGAGGGTTGTCAGACAGTGCTGTGACGGGATGTTCACAATGAGACAATTAGCAGTAACGTTAGTATAATTTTACCTCAATTGTGTGAATTTATCTGAAGAAGAGTGCTATATGAATAAAGATATCCACCCTGTGTTATTTAAAAACACTGTAAGTGACTTCCAAATCCAAAAGGAAAGGTAAAATGTATTCATTTGTAGTACCTCCACTCAAACAAATACATTTAATAAAAAACACATGGAGGGCTCCCCTGGTGGCACAGTGGTTGAGAATCTGCTGCCGATGCAGGGGACACGGGTTCAAGCCCTGGTCTGGGAGGATCCCACATGCCGCGAAGCAACTGGGCCCGTGAGCCACAACTACTGAGCCTGCGCATCTGGAGCCTGTGCTTCACAACGAGAGGCCGTGACAGTGAGAGGACCGCGATGAAGAGTGGCCCCCGCTCGTCAAAACTGGAAAAAGCCCTCGCACAGAAATGAAGACCCAACAGAGCCAAAAATAAATAAATAAATAAATAAATAAATAAACATATATATGTGTGTATATATATATATATATATACATATATATAAACCACACGGAGGGACTTCCCTGGTGGTCCAGTGGTTAAGAATCCACCTTCCTACGCAGGGGACGCAGGTTCAAGCCCTGGTCAGGGAACTAAGATCTCACATGCCATGCCACAACTACTGAGCCCACGTGCCACAAACAGAAAGAAGCCCGTGCACCACAACGAAAGATACCGCATGCCGCTACTAAGACCTGATGCAGCCAAATTAAAAAAAAATTAATTAATTAATTAAAGAACTGATCACCAAGCATTAGGTTAAGAAAACTTACTAATACTGAAAAAACTAAAACAGATGTCATTTAAAAAACAAACACATGGAGAAATTCTACATCGACATGAAAAGGTGGTGTGAAAACAGTACTTGTAAGGCAGACAAAAGTCAGGAGACAGAGCGAGAGGGGTACAATGGGAAGAGGATGCTGCCTGGACTCGGACCTCCACTCCCCGCATTGTTGGGGTGGACAGGGGCCAGGGCCTCCACCGCCGAGCCAGGGCTTTCTCCTCCACCCGAGCAAGCGCATTACAGGCACCTCCAGGGAAGAGCATGCCACGTGCCCAACCACAGGCGGCAGTGGGGACAAGAGAGGATTCAGGGGAGTATTTCTGGGACAACTGACACAGGAGCTGAGTCCTGGTGAACAGGTTAGGGAGGACGACCAGGTGGGAGTGGCAGGAGTGTGGCAGGAGTCAAGGTGTGAAGGAAAGTGCAGGTAAGGAGGCAGGTGACTCCATTGCCGGGGCCGTGGCAGGTCATGGTGCAGGTCTCTAGTGGGGCAGAGGAAGGGGGCTCAGGCAAGGGAGCGGCCAGGCAGATGAACATTTTGGGTGGATCTCACAGCTCAAAGGCTGGGTTACGAAGGGCAGGACCAGCAGCACTGGTCTAGGGCAGGACCAAGGCAGGCCAGGTGGTGAGAACAGATCTGAGAAGCTCGGAGTAGAACCAGAAACACTGACAGGTGAGTAAGAGGTGCCCCCAAAGATTCAAAGGGAAATACATTCAGGGGACAGTGTCGTAGGACAGAACCAGTTGCGGATTCCCTGGCAGTCCAGTGGTTAGGACTCTGCTCTTTCACTGCTGGGGCCCGGGTTCAGTCCCTGGTCAGGGAACTAAGATCCTGCAAGCCACGTGGCGTGGCCAAAAAAAACAAA